AAATTTTATTAATATAACTACTTTTGTATTTTAAATTATACAAAAAAATTAATTTTTGAAAATTTGTTATTTTGTTTCTTTTTTGCAACACCAAGCCCATATAATCTGCATAAGTTTGTTACCAATATATATTGATAGATTTTTTTTATTGACCTGTCAAGTGATCTATTAGTAACTTATAGATGATTCATTAGTAACTTACAGATAATTTGTTGGTAACTTATAGATAATTTAAGAGGTTTTTTTATAAGCTGACTTATTTTCATCTAGGTAGCATATTGTTTACTTGTTGGGTAATCTAGGTAAAGAATTTTTAAATAAGTCAATTTACTATATGATATTAAATATGCAAAAAGTTTGAATATTGAATAAGTTGTATTTAATATATAGAAGTTTATAGATATTAAATATAAATAATGCTATTAATAAACTATTGATAGTAAATAAATTATATAAATTATATATAAGATTTTATTTATAGTAGTATTTAAAGCATTTAAAATATCTATTTTTGAATTTTATATTTAAATTTGAATTAATTTCTTTTTAATTCATTTTTTTTATTTCTTTAATATTTGTAATTTTGATTGGTTAATACTCATATGATATTGCATTAACATTTGTGTAATATTAACATTAATGGTTCCTCCTATTAATGACTAATATTACCAAATTATATTTCAAATTTTTTTTTTTGAAATTCTTTAATAATTAACAAAATTAGCCAATAAAATAATATTATTTGAAGATATTAATCAAACATCTTTATTCTAGCGAATTAGCAATAATATAGTACTATATACTATATAAATATAAAAATTTTGACTACATTTTTTATACAGTGTACAAGTGTAAAATGCATATAACCATAACAAAATTTTTTTTTTTTATAATAATAAAAAATATTGTGACATAGCAGTTACAAATGAATAAGAAAGCCCTATAAAGAATATATGATAATATTTCTTATTTTTTTTATTATATTGTACTTTATAATTTAGCTTTTGTAAGATGGTCTCTGTTGTTGTTTAATCTCTTGTTCTAGTAGAAAAATATTAGCATCAGAAGTTATACATCTATAAGGATTTGTGTCTTTATACATTATTTCTACCAAATATTGTATTTCTTTAAAAGAGCTTGAAGTAATAAGATCATAAAGCTAAATCATTAGAGTATGATTATTACTTATATTATATAGTTCTTGTGTTGATAATTGTTTAGATTCAATTAGGTTCTGAAACAATATTGAATTTTCTTACAATATTTAGAGACTTTTCAAAGTAGATTCTAAGAATTCTTTAAATTTTTGTTTGCATATAACAGTAGTATTTAAAGTATCAATATTGGCTTCATTAAATATTAGTTTAGTTAATTCAGATATATTAAATAGTAATGTTACTGAAGTATTGATTCCAAGAATATGTTCTATATAATTAAGAATTTTTTTAGATAAGATAGTTATAAAACTGTTATCTTATTATTGTAATTGTTGCTTTTATTGTCTATATCTTTATTCTCATCATCTATATTATCTTCATTATTAATTTCAGAACTTATTGGCATTTCTAATCTGTCAGTATATTGATTATAATAAATTTGTTGAGCTTCTTGGTAAGTTGGAAAGATTATTTCAGATAAATATATATACTATTTTTGTTTATGAAGTTTATTAATATAAAGAGTTGCAGCATAAAAATGCTTATACAAGATACTAATTTGAAGAAAGTCAAAACATTAACAACAAATATTTGTTGGCTGCCCATATATACAAGTTGTATAAATAAATCTAGAAAAAGATTCAGACTTGACCTCAATATAGATTTTTCTACTAATTATTTCAAATTTAATAATTTTTTTTATTTCAAGTAGTCTTTTTGCCAATTTATTCTATTTTATACTTAGAGATAAATAAGCAACTTGTAAAAATTCTTGAATTAGAAGTTTATGATCAGATAGATTCATTATATTGAGTTCTTTTTATCACTCTACTTTTTTATATTCAAGATCTATAGCAAGTTTTCATAATATTAAAATATTAGGTATAACTTCATATACAAGAGCAATATAAAGTATATCAGCTTTAAAAAGATAATCACTTCTTTGAAATCAATTTAATTGATTATTTTTTAAATGTTCATTTATTTTTTTAAGGTGGTTATGAGGTTTTCTAAGAAAATTTCAAGAACATTTGTAGCTCTTATTTGTTTATTTAGACATCAACTATACAAAAGATCTTTAGTCCATTGTTTATTTAAATAAGAAAAAAATTTTAACTCACCTTCCAAAAGTTTTTTATTTTCTAAAATAGGTTCTACCTTATATATACTTTTTAATATTTTTTTTTTTTAATATATTCATATACCATCTTTTCATTATTGTTTACTGACTGAGCCTCTTTTATAGTACTTTTTAAAAATAACTCTAAGGTTTGTTTTAAAAAAATTACTTTATTTTTACTATTACAATTTAATTGTTTATTAATTTCATTCTTGCAGCATTAACTAATATAAAAGAAACAAAATAGCAAAATGATTTCTGGCCATACTTTAAATAATAATTTTTTTACTTTGATATTAGCATCAGTCATTATGACAAGAGAACTAAAAGTTATTGGTATAGTTGAATATTGATTATTATTATAATTATTACTAATCTTATCATGAAAGATTGTGAAAAATCATTCTAAGATCTTACTATCATATTTAGATGATGTTAATTTATTATTTTTAGAAGATGTAAAAAGAATGAAAACAACAGGAATGCCTTTGTTATTATCATCAATAATTAGAATAATAAATAAAATTAGTTTATATTTGTTAATTCTGAAAGTTTTATTAATAAGAATAAAGTTTTGATGTTCATATTTCCAAACATATTCTTGTTGCTTATATGTATATATAATAAACTCTAGACAGTTAGTTTTATTAATATGAGGTTGATAATATAAGCATCTAGTTTAATGAATATGTTAATAAAAAGTTGAGGTTAGTCAATTATCATACAAATTATTTGAATAAAACCTTTTTTTTTAAAAAAAATATAATATAATTATAAAAAAAAAGCTACTCAAAAAAAATTTAAAATTTGAATATTAAATTACTTATATTTCTTTAAGCTCAGATTAGTTGGCATCTGGTCCAAGAAACTGATCTAGGTTTTATGCATCATTATGTTTAATATTTATATTTTAATTTGTCTATAGAATTTATTTTTTAATATTTGTAATATCTATTGCAATAAGTAATATTTTAGAATTTTCAACTAAAGTGTAATTTTTAAAAACATTTTTTATAAATTTTATATTTTAAGTAAGAATATCTAAAGTTTTTACATTAAGACTTAATAAATTTTTTACACTTTTCTTTATATATAGTAGGAACTTATACTGGAGGTTATGCTGTGAATAAGAAATTATATATTAATTAGAATGTTCCAGATACCTTGTAATGTTACAAATTTCATTATTATAAAGAGAAATTGTAACAAATACAAGACATCTTACATAAGATAGCAGGCTTTTAAAACTCAAAAACCAGATATAATTACTTTTTTATAATAACTTCTATATATGTATTGTTTAATAATTGACATTTTACTTGAGTATCAGATAAATTATTTATATCATACATCTTCAGAATTAATATCAAGATTATTTTCCTAAAGAAATTGATTATAATCTACAACTTGATCTTTATTAGATAAAATTTTATTTCTTTTCAATTACTCTAGCCTGCTTTTTTCTAATAAATTATTAAATATAACTTTGTTATTTTTTGTTAGAAGAAGATGTGAGTTTAACTTTACTTTAACTTGAAATTTATAACTTTCTCTTTTTTTAATTTTATTAGAGATTTTAAATTTTGATAAAGACATATTAATCTAAAGTCACTAGAGCTAGAATGATGTAATCAAATAGATATATTTAATGTTTTTATAAATATTTGTCTCATATTTTTTTTAATTTATTTATAGATACTAATGTTTGTATAAAAGACATATTTACATTATTTAGTTATATTATTTTAAAAATATGTTATATAATTTAATGATTAGATATAACTAAGTAATATAAATATTTTTACACCTATAACAAACATTTTATTTTAAATTTTTTTAATTAATTTATGAAGATTTTAGAGTTAAATATTTGATGAGTTAAGTGATGTATTTTTTTTAAAATAAATAATTTACAAGTCCTATTTTATTTTAAGTTTAAGCTTATTTACAGTATAATGCTTTTATATCAACTTGACTATAAAAATTATTGTATTTTTCATTAAAACTTGATATTTTCTTTACTTGTATACTGTAATAAATTCTTGAACTTGACATATATATGGTTAATACCTATTACAATGACATTATCAAACAAAAAGTTTATGGATTTTATAATTTAAACACTTGTTCTGATTAAAACCTACAATTTATTAATTTATATTATATAAATTATTATTATTTTTTACTAATAATCATTTAATATATTTTACTCATGATTATTTAATTTATTTATAAATTAAAACTTTCACGATTACGTGATTACAAGTAAATTTAAAACCAGTATTACAAAATTCTTCGTTAAATTTTTTTTTTTTTTAATTTATTTATTTATAAATTAAAACTTTCACGATTACACAATTACAAGTAAATTTAATATCGATATTACAAATTTTTCGTCAATTCTTATTTATTTATCCCTTAAACCATCAATTTAACTACGTATCTACTATGATTTAGACTACAATTCAATATAATTTGATAGCTTAATTACAGATTAATCATGAAATTTCCAGGCAAATTTGCCTGGAAAACGGTTTAAGAGATAAATTAAAACTTTTATGATTACGCGAATTTAAAGCCAGTGTTACAAAATTCTTTGTCAATTTTATTACTTCATTTTTTCATAATAATAGTTATGATTGATATTGACATTAGTAAATTATTTCAAGATATTGAAACTGACCCTTTGGATATAGCAGTATATTTAACGCTAATGATACAATATGCAGTATATTGGTGGTGATATTACTGGTATGTTCTAATAATAAAAAAACTCACTAGAGATTGCTAGAGTTAACCATACTATATAACGAATAAATTACCAGTGACAGACAGTATTGTGTTCTAATAATAAATAGTTCGTGTATAAAAGATGTTCGATTAATATCTCCAAATAACGCTATTTTATTGGCTGATTTTGTTGATCATCGGAGAATTCCAAAAAAGGGGGTCGCTTAAAGCCTGGCACATTACGAAATTTCCCGATATATTTCCCGCATTATTCCGAACAACCCGACAAAGCAAAAAAAACGAAAATATAAAAAATGGCTATCTAAACTGGTCTTAATGCACTAAGTAAAAGTGTTGGAAATACGATTTTACTATATACCTGTTAACCTTCCAGCCTATGTATAACCTTAATCCTTAATATTAATTAAAAATCGGAAAACCGGAAGGTGCCAGGCTTTAAACGTCCCCCAAAAAAAGGAAATTTGAAATACGGTTCGGTAATATTGGTCCCTGTTGACTAGATTGCGATTTTTAATCACATGATGATTGTCGATTATAGATTTCCAAATTTCAGTAATAAGATAGATGTCATATTTAACTTTACCATTAAAACATAAATAATAAAAATATGTGGATTACTTTATACGACATTGTCGTGTGCTTCTTTGGTTTGGTGCTAGACACCTTTTTTCGAGAAATAAAATCACGAGGATCTCATAAAATTCCGGAAGAAGGTCCTATCATTTTTGTTGCTGCACCACATGCAAATCAAGTAAGTTATTTATAAAAAATTTAACCATAGTTTTATGTCATTTATTAAATAAAATGATCTATTTCTTTCCAGTTCGTTGATCCACTCATTCTGATGAGGAATAGCAAGCGACCTATTTCCTTTTTGATCGCGGAAAAATCCATGAAACGCAAATACATTGGCGCTATGGCTCGTGCTCTTCACACAAGTAAGCTACTGACTTTTACCATTTTATCTAAAAACTTCGTGATTGTTAAAAAAAAAAAAAATTCTTAATTTTCTCAATAGTACCCGTCGTAAGGCCTCAAGATTTAGCCAAACCCGGAAAAGGAAAAATTTATTTAAATGACCGTAAAACTGAACCCCTTACTATTACCGGTATTGATACGAAATTTATTGAACAACTGAAAATAGGTGGTCAAATTTCCTTACCAAATGATTGTGGAGCATCCGAGGTAACTGATATAATATCAGATACTAAATTAACAATTAAAAAAGAATTTAAAGACTTAAAAGCATTGGAAATGTTGACGCAATCTGAAGGAACAGCTTACAAATGCTTACCACATATTGATCAAAGTAAAGTTTATAAAGCAGTATTTGAAGTTTTAAATGCTGGAGGTTGCGTTGGAATATTTCCTGAAGGTGGAAGTCACGATCGAACTGAAATCCTTCCATTGAAAGGTTTGTATATTTAAATTTATCACTTTTGATCATTGCTTACAGTATTCTTCAAATTATCACTCCGTGGTTATGATCCTGCTACCTATTTCTTTAATAAGATTCGGTGGTATAACTATGTTGATTTACTACTTTTAATATGATATGTTCTCTAAGTATAGTACCCGATTCTTCACACTGTACCCAAGAGTACTGTTCAATTTTAAAAATGGATTTTGAATATGTTCCCGGTGCTGTAAGCAGTAACAAACGGTAATTAATATATCTGATTTTACACATGTAGCGGGTGTAACTATTATGGCTTTGGGTGCTATGGCTGCTAATCCTAAACTTAATGTCAAAATTGTGCCATGTGGTTTGTTGGAATACTCTATCATTTTATATTTACCTTCTGTATTATATAATTTATATCCTAATATTTTTTACTTCTTATAGGTTTAAATTATTTTCACGCCCATCAATTTCGTTCTCGTGCTGTTGTTGAATTTGGTTCTCCTATTTTGATACCACGTGACTTGGTTGAAAGATATAGCAAAGGTGGCAAAGATAAAAAGGGTGCTTGTAGTAGTTTACTGGAAATAATTTATAATGGTTTAAAATCTGTGACTGTTAATACTCCAGATTATGAGACATTAATGGTATTTACTTTACTCTTCAGATATTTTAAACCTCTAAAAGTTCTTATCAGTTTATTATTAAATACCATTTAACAGGTCATTCAGGCTGCTCGTCGTTTGTATAAACCTGAACATCACAAACTTGAGCTTCCCGAAGTGATGGAATTAAATAGACGCTTTGTTGGCGGTTATATGAATTTTAAAGATGATCCGAGGGTCCAAAAAATGAATAAAGAAGTGATGGCATATAATCAATTATTAAAATATTATGGGTTAAAGGATCATCAAGTTCAAAAAACTGCCCATGGTGGATTTAGAGCCTTGTTCTTATTATTACAACGAATTTTCCTTTTAATCTTATGGAGTATTTTAGGCTTTCCTGGGTAAATATGAATTGTCTTAATAAAATATTATTCTGAAAAATTAAAGCTTTTTTCCTATATCTTATAGGATGATATTAGGTTTTCCTATAATGGTTATCGCTCGAATTATTAGTGCCAAGAAAGCGAAAGGTTAGTCAAATTGATTTATAGGTTGTAGTTGATTTAATATTTAGTATTCTATTAACTAACTACATTTTTTTTAAATATTATGATTGCAGAGGCTGTTAAAAGCTCTACTGTCAAGATTGCAGGACGTGATGTATTAGCCACTTGGAAATTACTTGTTGCTCTCGGTGCTACCCCAATCTTATATGGAGCTTATACTTTAATAATATTAATCCTTGCATATAATTATAACTGGACGTTTATATTAAATCTCGGAATATTATCTCCATTAGTTGTATTTATTATATTATTTGTTATTACTTATGGAACTATGCGATTGGCAGACACGGGACGTGATGTGTACAGGCGAGTTTTTATCGATTATTTTTAGCAATAATGGGACTCGTGAATATTTTAATAATTATTTGTCCAAATCATCTTAAAGGTCACTTCGTCCTCTGTTTCTATCACTTCTTCCTTGGTCCAAATCATCAATTCAAAACCTACGACAAATTAGAGAACAATTAGCGTTCAATTTAACGGAACTAATTAACGAGCTAGGTCCAAAAATATATCCAGATTTTGATAGTGCACGTATAGTCCAAGAAGTTAGAAAGAACAGCAGATCACCATCACCATCAAGGCCATCATCATTGAGATTATTCGCATTAACTGATTTAATGGATGACAAACTGTTTGATTGGGAAAAGGCTGATGATTCAGATTATGATGATGTATTTTTCTTCCTTGACAAACATAATAGTGGTAAAATTACTGGGCGTAGTAGGTCTAATTCTTCTGGTAGTAGAAAACTATCAATTGGCAGGGACGGAACTAGCAGTAGTGCTTCATTAAGTAGAGTGAATTCGTTCAATTCACTCAATTCATTTAATCCAAATGTAGAAGCGTTTACAAAATTACAAAATACAAGTACAATACCATCACTTAATGTTCCAGAAGTTAGAATTATTGATGATGATGGATATCAAGGTGATGAAGAAAATTCAATACAAACAAAGAAGAATGTTTAAGTTTTCATTTTTCGACTTTACTAAATCACACCAGTGATGCTTAACACCATCATTCCAAAAAAAAAAAGAAGTAACATTTAATTCCAACTACCCTAAGTCTAATTTTTGATAAAACTAGGTAAATGCATAGCATTGTATGTCCGGAGCGCGTATTAAATTATATATACTATATAATGTGTTACTATTTGATTGGACGATATTCACGTGATGTGCCGGATACCCTTAACAGTCCTTCGCTACGCTCCGGACAAATTATTGATGTGATTTATATTTTTTGCAATATTTTTATATTAGTGTTACTCCAAAATAGGAACAATGTATATTTATCGTAGCGGTTGATGCTGGAAATTAGATGCCTTGATTTAATAATATAAACCCTACCAAAATCCATTTATTCCAAACTAAAAGCCAACTATATAAAAAAAAGCTAAAAAACATACATTCCAAAAAAATTTGAAAATTACATGTTAAAATATTTAAAATTTTCAGCTTCAGCCGCGACATTTATTTTATATTTATGTCAAAAAATATAATAAAAAACGGTATGTATAGATTAAAGTTAAATTATTAACATTACTAGAAAGCGATTATATTTCTACTGTCACGTGATGATATATGAAATTAGGTAATAGTGAAGCCCAATTTAGTGTAACGTTACGCGATCAGAAAATGCTTAAATCGCCTACGTATAACTCAAAATCTACATAAAAAACCCATCTTTTACTATTAGAACCCTTACTAACCCTAACATAGGCTCTAGCCCTAGCATAAACGAACTTAAAGAATTTTGCCGTATATCTATACATGCTGGACAAATTTGGACAAATCCCAACCCTCTAAAAAATAATTGTTAATTATAAAAAATTAAATCAAGCGAATAATTTTAAAATTATATAAATATGGGCTAGGTGCTGGAAAAAGGGTCGAAAATGACAAAAAAAAAAGATTTTCGGAAAATCAATTTTTATATTATAACGATAAATCTTATAATAATCATAAGAAAATGCAAACTTTAAGAATAGAGTACAATATTGATCATTTCTATATATACTGTAATTAGTTGTAAATTTTTATCATTTTTTTTTTATATTTAATTTTTTGAAAAAATATATTAAGTAAATAAATTTTAATCCTTATATAAAAGTTGTATAATAGGTCTTTCTAATTCTAATGATAGTAAGATTATTAAAATTAGGTAAAAATTCATCAAGATATGAGTTTTTTTTTTTTTTTTTTTTTTTTGTATTAAGATGAGGCTTTGCTTATATCTTTATTAATAATTTAAAATAGTTACATATATATATGTTATGGTCAAGGTCAATACTTGTAGTTAGGGTTAACCATTCAACTGTTAATTATATAGTTACTACTATTTGTATAAAACAAATAAATTGAAAATTACATGCAAGAATAAAAGTTCAGACTAGTTTATCTACAATCTAAACCTACTAGAATGGTTAAAGCTCATTTAGATTTGAATGTTTAATATATAATTTAATAATATGTTATATTTGATCCATAAGATGAACTAAATGTTAATTTTGCGAATTGCTTGATCAATAGGAGAACATGTATTTGAGTAAGAATATAATTGATCAGAAAGTTCACAAAGGCATAAGTAAGTGTAATTTTTTCAAAAATAAGTGTGTTTTCTAATTGGATTGAATGATCTTAAGATTGGTTAATTGATTGAGATCAGGGTTTATTTTGTTGATTTTTTCAATTAGAGAAATGAATACAGTATGTTTTCTATAGTTGCTCATATGATTGTTCATTAATATTAAGAAGAATATCAATAATAACTTAAGAGATTATTTTATATAAAATATCAGAGTTTTGAATTGTTGATATAAGAGATTTTGGAATAAGTTCTTTAAGAATAAGATTGGAATAATAAGAATTGGGTAATGTATATAAAGAATTAAAAGCTAGATGATGAAGAATTTTGTTAATTAAATTATGTTTATAGTTGGTATCAAGATTAGGCAAGTTATTAGAGATAATTTGGTTAATAGAGGTTTGGATAATTTGATCGAATAAGGATAAATTAGCACGAGTGTGCCAGTGGGAATAGAAATTAGATAAGTTACAAAAGAAACAAGTAGTATCTAGATATTGGCTTGGATAAATAATATGATATAATAAGTATGTTGTCAACTTATTAAGAAAGATTTTTGTTTTAAAAGATTTTAGTTGATTAAGTCTAAAGTTGGTAATATTGTATGAGGATTTTTGATTGTGATTAAAATAAAGCCAAATAGATCTTTAATTAATGTCTTGGTTGAAATATGACTACTCACTGTTTTGTTTTTATGATGTTCATATAATTAAGATATGAGCTTTACAGATTTGTTTAATAAAGTGTCTTATAGGAAGTTCTATATAATGATGTTCTTATTGGAGAATATGATAAGGGTTGTAGAGATTTGTGTAATTAAATAAAAGAAATAGTAACAATAAATGTTGTTTAGTAAGAAAGTCTGCTTACTTATTAAGATAATTATCTGAATAGGCTTGTATTTTATGAAAAGTAATTTGTAATTTGTATGATTTAATAATGTTTAGAAGAGTATACCAAATTGGTCATGAATTAAATTTGAATAACTTATTAGGATAAATTAACTTAAGTTAAAGATTATTAAATTTAGAAATTATTGATTGAGAGTCTATAAAAATATTAATAGTACAGTTTTAAGGAGCAATTGAGATTGTAATAATAATTAAAAAGAGTTCTGTTTTGTAAGATAAAGCCTAAAATTTAATTTTAGTAGAAAAAAAATTAATAATTTGATTGTTATTATTGACTTGAATCCAACCAATACCCATTATACATTGGTTAGTACCAATGTTAATTATAGATCTGTCAGTATAGAAAGATAGTTGCTGCTAAGAAAAGTTGTAATGTGAGATAGATATAAGTTTGTTAGTAGATTTGCTTAGAATAAAGATTTCAAAAGTGATAGAATTAATAATAGGGATATTAGATGAAGGAGAAATATGAGTGGGATGTTTGACAGATATAGAGCAGATAAGGTTCAAGTAGTTGATATTGAGTTGATGCTTTGAATTAGTTTTGTCAAGGAATTGTGCAGAAATAATTGCAAAAACTTCAATAGTACAAGTTTGGTTAATTATATAAAAATTAAGATAACATCTTGTACATTGTTTGTAGCTGATAGAGGATAAAGGATAAAATCTTGTATAGTTTAAGTCTATATTAGAAGTCCAATGAGTAATAGAATAGTGATTAGAAGATAAAAAATATTTTTGTATTTTTTTAATAATAATTTCATCATTGTAGTATAAGAATAGCTAGAGTTTGGATTTAGTAAGTTTTTTGGATGTATTAATAGTATAATAAGCATAAGAGTTGTGATCTGGTGATTAGTAATGTGATAAAATATTTTGATAATAAGAGTGTGCTAAGATTGTATCTTCTAAGTAAGAGAACCAGAAGGGTTTTC